GGGGGGGGGGGGGGGGGGGCTTAATAACTAGCCTGGCTCCAGAGGTCCGTTCTTGAAATACCCTGAATTAATTTTAAAACGTCTGCCAGAACCCAGTGAAGAATTATTGATAAGGAAAGGATAATTAAAAAAGCGATAGGAGGAGTCGGGTGGGGAGGTCGGGAGGGGCAAAATAGAACCCTCCTTGCAAGCCAATGATTGGCCTGGCGAAAGGATGGAACATTATTTAACCAAGGTATCTACCACACACGGAAGGGGTCAACAGAATAAGTTCATACTAACATCATAGATAGGTCTGGTGGAGTAATGGACAAATAATTATACCAAACATAGGTTCTTCACTGCTCTTGTGTTAGAGAAACGAGCATCACTTTATTGTCGATTCATTGCGAACATAACACTCATAAATCTAGCGTGAGTGATGTTTTGAATGGATTTCAAAACAGGATGCAAACGATTAACAACGATGTAAAAAACAGTTGCAAGTAGACGTGTTACAGCATCGGTGGACGCCATGATCGTTCTGCTACCTATATCCCATAGTTCCTAGCGAACATCTGGTATCAATAACTTCCGGTTTATATGAACATTACATCTCTTTCTCCCTAGTGGGTAACTCTCTAGAATAATATGGAAAGAAATAAAATAAACTTCAACTAATCAGTGTCCATGAAACTATGACTACTGACTGGAATCAAAGTCCAACAGAAACAAACGTTTTTTGTACAGGCGACAGCATTTTTAACTAAACAAACTATACTGTCATAGCCCAGAGTTCACGGTTCAATAAGAATCTAGGCCTACAAATCAAGAATCTGGCGGGGAACTCGTTTCCTGGAAGATCTACGCAATGGTGGTTGACCAACCGGGTGAGACGCACTAGCTTGGCTCTCTGGGATAGGGCTAAATGAACTTGTAGGATCACCTTGCACGCCAGGGGAGCTCACGGGTTTTGATGCAGACGGGTCAGAAGCATGAGCACGTGTGGGTGCACCAGGCAGCTCTTGTTGGTGTTTGATGTCAGCTGGAGAGCTGAGACCACTGTCATGGGACGGATCATCATCACGGTTGATGACTGACTGGTCCAGAGTTTTAAAGAAAGAGGAATTTCTGGTTACCGTGCGATTCTCGTTTTGAGATGTGATCATGCTGCCTTTCTTATCAACTACAGTCAAGGGGGTAAGGTCGTAAACAGTTGCACCTTTAGACGCAGTAAATGGTCTCTTCGGTAGTACGGTTTCACCGGGTGAGATAGTGCTGGGTTTCACATAAACCTTGCTGTCAGCATGAGCCTTGAACTTGGATTTCTTTGAGAAATCGCGTTCGCGGACGATCTCCCCCACAGGGTCAACGTAGTTGGTCTGTGGTAGCTTGTTACGCACAGGACGTTTCAGTAACAATACTGCTGGGGCCACACCAGTGGTTTGATGAGGAGAGGTGCGATAGTTTCTCAGAATCGCTTGCAGTTCCTTTCTCCAGTTTCTTCCTTCCACTTTAGCGGCTTTAAGACACTTCTTCAGTGTTTTCACGAATCTCTCCACCTCACCGTTGGCCCTAAGCCATAATGGGGTTACCTTGCGATGCTTGAAACCAAGCGCATGAGCAAACTTGGCAAACTCTTCTCCGCAGAAAGGTGGACCATTGTCTGATCTAACAATCTTGGGAGTTCCGAATGTAGCAAATAGCTGATCTAACTTAGGTATGACAGCGCTAGCGGACGTTGACGACACTGGTTCTACGAACGGGAACCTTGAATAATCATCAACCAGTAGAAGTAGGGTTTCACCCTCAACATGCGCAAGATCGATGCTTACTTCATCAAAAGGGCTGCCAGGAAGAGCTGATACTTGAACAGGCTCTCTAGCGTACAATGGTGTTGCAACTTGGCACGGCAAACAGGCCTTGACCTTTGTTTCAACCATCTTGTCCATTTATGGGAACCACACCTTCTCTCGCAGGAGGGCCTTTTTTTAACTATGCCTAAGTGACCTTCACGGGCGATGTCAACAATTCGTTCTTATAGAGCAGCAGGAATGACTAAACGATCGGATTTTAACAAGACAGTGTCAGTGCAGGTTAGTTGCTCCTTGACTAGCTCGTAGCGGGATAGCTCAGATAGTGATACACCAGGTGGCGCCTTGTGCCAGCAACCAGATTTCATCGCAGATATAACCGCTTGTAGCACTGGATCTAAAGCGGTTGCAGATTCTACCTCAGACAATGTTACAGCTTTTGGTACTGCATTTCTTGTAATAAAAGAGATGTGGTCTTCAGACTCGATTTCATAATTATGAGATTCCAAGTCTCCTACTGGGTTTCTCGAAGTGTAATCCGCTGGGTTTGAAGCGCCAAGGCGATATTCTACTGTGAATCGGTTCTGCTGTAGCTCCATGAGCCAACGTTCTATCCTGGCGGACGGTTTAGAAGTGGGGTTGTTAAACAAGGAAACCAGAAGGGGGTGGTCTGTGATTACTTTAAATTCCCCTCCACAGATGAACAAGTGAAAGCGCTTTACAGCCCAGTAAACTGACAAAGCTTCACGATCAATCTGTGGATATCTAGCTTGAGTTGGTGTCATTGGAGAACTGGCATAATGCAAAGGTGTCACTTCATTAGTCGAAACTTCTTTCTGGGTCAGGACAGCACCTAGACCAATGGGACTACCATCGACAAAGATGGAAGTAGGTTTCTTTGGATCAAAGTATCCAAGGGTAGTCTTGGTAGATAGTGCCGCTTTTAGGCGTTCGAATGATGACTGTTCCTCCTCAGTCCACTGCCACTTCACTCCATTACAGGTCAGCGGTCGAAGAGGTCTGGTGATTAGTGCAAAGTTCTTGATGAACCTAGAGCAGAATGCAGCCGAGCTAAGGAGGCTTCGCACTTCAGATACATTGGTCGGTTGCACAACATTTTGAACAGCTTCAACCTTTTTAGGATCAGGTGACATGCCCTTTTCAGAGAACACATGGCCAGAGAAGAGGAAAGTGGGAACTCGAAACTGACACTTAGGTAAGTTTATTGTCAGACCACTCTCCTGGAGTTGACGGAACACTTGTCTCAGATGTCGGTCATGAGTGTCTTTTTCTGCGCCCCCAACATAGATGTCATCACTGATGTTCTTGACGCAGGGTATGCCACGGATTGCATCACCCACCTTCATTTGGAAGATTTCTGCTGCGCACGAGAGGCCAAAATTGAGACGTTTGTATTGGAACAGTCCAACGTGTGTAGAAAACGTGCTCAGTGCTCTCGAGTCGGGGTGCAATGGGATCTGGTGGTACCCTTGATTTAAGTCGATCTTACTAAACATTTTACAACCGTTCAAGTCCGACACTACGTCATCGATGGTGGGTATGATGTGTCACTCCCTGATGATAACTTTGTTTAATGAACGCATGGCCACACAAATTCTAATCTCGTTCGGTTTATTCGGCTTGGGCACAACAACAATTGGCGATACCCAAGGGTTGGGACCTTCTTCGCGTTCAATGATGTCATCATTTTCAAGCTGTTTGAGTTTTTCCTCCACCTGTTTTCTTACATGGAAAGGGATTCGGCGATGTGGCTGTGCCACGGGTTTGACAGATTCATCTACATGTATGCGTGCTGGTTCACCTTTGTACTTGCCCATTCCACTGGTTAGATCAGGAAATTCCTTGAGAAAATCTGGGGCATTAGGTGGCAGGTTAACAGGAGGTTCGACCGTTCTACCAGCTTTAATAAGATTTAATGCTTGTGAGGTTGTCCAGCTGAGTATGGAGCTTGATGAACCCTTTGCGACATAGAATGTTTCCACGCATGAAAAGCTACCACTGGTGAGAGTAGCTCGGAATTTTCCACACAGGGTTAGTGGCTTATCAGACATGTATGGATACACTTTGGCACTTGTTTCAGCCAGTTGTGCCTTTGATTTAAGGCCATCAAAGTCTCTCTTGGTTAAGATATTCACGGTTGCTCCTGAATCTGCCATTATGCGGATAGGTGTGTTGATGATCGTGACCTGAAAGATAGGCTTGCCAGCTTGGGGTCCCTGTGCACCAATGTAAAAGGGATACTCTTCGCTGTTGTCACTATCAACACCGGCTAGAGATGACATTTCACTACTCGGAGACTCTTCAACATCTGCAGACCTGGCATGGTATTTACCTGTTGACGGTTTCTTTGGGTGCGAAGATTTGGACCGATTATTGGGTTTGCCACGACAAACTTTGGAGAAATGGTTTATTTTGCCACAGCTCAAACACTTTTTACCTTGAGCAGGGCAAGTTCCTTGATGTGGGTAATTTCCACCACATAAACCACACTTATTGTTACGCAATCCAGACTTTGGTAGACCACGAGAATTCTCTTTCTGCTGAACGTGGGTTGCTTTATTTCTACCATAGCCCACTGCGCTGGATTGCTGTTTCTCCATCTCAGTGGTCTGTTCGTGGGCGGTTTCCATGGCGCGAGCTACTTTCAATAAGTTCTCAAGATTGAGGCTCTGTTCGATTGCTTTACGTCTCAGGCGAAGCGATAAGGTTGCTTGAATAATCTACCGCTTAATTTCCAGTTCGGGATCGGCGAATTGACACTTGCGTGCTAACCGCTGGAGACGTGTGTAAAACTCGATAATGTTTTCACCAGATTTTTGCGTTTCCTGACGAAAGGCATAGACGTGATAATCCACACACTTTTGAGGCTCGAAATGAAGAGCAAGAGCCTTCACGGCAGTCTTATATTCGTCACTTCCTTCCGACGGTTCTGGAACGGTAAGGGTCTCAAACACATCACAAGTTTCTTCTCCTACGTAATGCAACAACATGGCCTACTTTTGAGATGCTCGGGTAATGTTCATTACTGTAAACATGTTGTCCAAACGCTTGACATACTTCTCAAAGCGAACGGGTACTGTATCTCTTGGTTAAAGATCAAACTCAGGAAAGGTCGGTAGGTTAATTGCCATTGCAGAGGCTATTGAAGGCTGCGAAGGCGAAGTGGTTGATGAAGAATCTGCCGGCATTGAAAACAAGGTTGATCGGTAGGATTTTCCGGTTGATTTAACACTTTAAACGTAAAGATTTCTGTCTTCGATTACTTGCATCCCATCCTCGTCGCCATTTGTGATGTTTTGAATGGATTTCAAAACAGGATGCAAACGATTAACAACGATTTAATAAACAGTTGCAAGAAGACGTGTTACAACATCGGTGGACGCCATGCTCGTTTTGCTACCTATATCCCATAGTTCATAGCGAACATCTGGTATCAATAACTTGCGGTTTATATGAACATTACACAGTGCTGGTCCGTTTCTGCTTCGCTGAGCCCTAAAATTTGTTTCTGGCGTTCCAGACGATCAGATAGTCGAGTGCGGCGCGAAATGGGAGAGCGGACAAAAATAAGGAGGCAGAGAGGGAGCGGTCCGCTGTTTTTTTCCTGCTTATATATTCTCGCCGTCCTCACAATCTGAAGGTCTGGAACAGGGTATAACATCACGTTTCAAAACCAATCCTGACCTTGACCCTGGAGGGCGGATTGTATACCTACAAAACGTCTTTCTGGAATTTCGTAATTCAGCTCAAACTCTGTACAAATTTGTTGGGAAGCCATTTGATGAAAGTAAAATGCAAGGCAACTCTGATGCTATCGCGTTTTAAACTTACGTTATATATGATTTAAGGTATCATCCACCCTCAAGCACCCTCCCCGCGTTGATCGGCGCTAGCACTTTTGTTTTTAATAAATACCCCCATAAACCGCACATTTTTTGAAAGCTTAATAGTTTCAGATTATTGCTTATTCCTTTTAAAAAATCAAAACGTTAACGCGATTCAGAAATTAGAAGCTTTTTGTAAAAGTGGTTGTCACTGTAAATTTAAGTCCAGTCCAGCCAAAAATAAACGGAAGAAGCCAATTAAGATCTCATTCGCTTCTTAACACGTTTGTTTAAAAAAACCGTGTCTCAGATTTTTGTCAAGTAGGTTTGTTCTTTTGTTATAAGCAGTTGAAGTAAGGGATAGCAAATCATTAGCACTAACTGTGAAAAAATACTCTTACTCGAAAACGAAAAAAAGAAATCAAAATTCGCAGACATGGTTTTTTAGAAAAACTATCTGACAGTAAGTTGGCCAAATTTCAGCCAAATTGGTTCACGGGTTGCCGACTTGGATTTTAAAACGTACCCTTAACTTGCCCTGATTTTCATTTCGAGAAAACAAGGGAGAAAGATTTTTCGCGGCCTATTACCCGTGACGATTATAACACCAAAGCTGTCAATGTTGAAGCATACCAGAAAAGAAACAACAATAGTGACACAGCAGGAAAAGGTTACAAACGAAACCCGACAACAGATGAACAATTTATTTCAAAGGCTCTGCTCTGTTCGATCCTTCTGTTGTCGAGAAAACATCTTTAGTTATTTGCGACGGGCAGTTTTCATTTTGAGCCAGCCAACTTTTACTCCATACATTTTCTAAAAGTTTGACACTTCCCTGGAAAAATAGCCTGAGTATCAGGCCTTCCTAAGGGGCTAGGGGAGAGGAGATGTGAGATGGGGGAGGGGGGAGGGGGGAGAAGAGAAAGAAAGGCCTGACCCAAAACCATTCAGCAAATCGTGTGACACATCCAAAATCTGGATGTGGCAGTGATTGGATAACACACAATACCCCCTGACGTCACCGACCGCAAGTAAACACGAGCAGAGCGATCGGCAAGGAGAAGCCATTGAAATTTTCCATAGATGTTTTGATTTCATGTGGTACTTTTATGGATAGAGAGACGCAGAGAGGAATTCAAAGAGGCTCTAGAGGGCGCTCAAGTTCTTTCCTGGAATAAAAATAAAACCCGAGCAAGAATTGTGTTTTCAAAGCCTCGTAGTAAAAAGGAAAGATGTTCTCGGAGAATGGAAAAGCCTAATATACCAGCTTCTGCCGAAACTATGTCCGAGTATTGGTTTCACAAGACCGGGGCAAAGAAGACGATATCAGTTCTTCAGATATCTAAGTTCTGATTAACAACATCCTGCCGTTAAAAGGGTACTGTTACTGTAAACAAAATTAGAGCGAGGTAGCCATGTATTGAGAATAGCCGACAGCACTATGGCTTTAGCTTGACTTTAGATTTTCCCTTGGACGATTTTCGACCTGACCTACATCAGCTTTTTAGCTGCCAGACTCTCAGGAACTTGCTTATTAATGAGCGCCTGTTGTAACGCTGTAAACAAAAGCAATTTACGGTTTTCAGGGCACACGCTTATTTACAAACAGAGCGATGGTGATCTTACACTAGCACAATTCCTAAAATATGTTATAATTCCTCAAAAACGACAGGTTTTCCATTACAAGTATTCGGAAACTGCTCTTTGGAGGTTTCAGAAAAAAGCGAAATCCTAGCAACACAGGCACCGGAGCTCGGCCAGACCGTAAGGTGAGATTTATTTTAGGTGACCTCTTTGACACGTGAAGCTGACAACCCAACGACGGGAAATGATTTTGATTGGATGGTATCGAATCATGCTGTTTTGGGGTGGAAGGCTCCAGTGAAAGCATCTGTGTCAGGCGTTTCTCTCCTTCAGCTCTCTCCCTTTTTCGCTTCCATCTTTCCCCTTTTCGCCCAGAAACGCCTGATACTCAGGCTACTGGAAAAATCGACAACAAACCGCTTCCTGAAGTTTTTCTTGAAGCTGCTCTCCCGTTACAATAGACTTTGAAAAAAGTCCTTCGTCCGATTTTTATATGGCGCGGGACCTGTCGCCAATTTTTCGCTCGCCTGGCCGCTTCGCGGCCTAAAAAACTCACTCCGCTCCCTAAGAAACTCGTGAAACTCGAACGCCAAAGAGACCATACAAAAGGAGACTAAGTTGCCAGTGAGAAAATTATTAAGTCAATAGACGATCAAAAGTCTTCGTGAATAATGAATCTGGAAGAAAATTCTTGTAGGAATCATGAATCATTGAGGCAAAAACGTCAGGAATCATGAATAACAAGATTCAAATGATTCCGCCTCTACATCCGATTAGTACAACCGATGTTTTGCTTTATGTGCCTCCTGCATAACTAGTGCAGAGAAGTAAGGTCAGAAGTCAGGTTAACATACAATGAAATGTAGGTGAAGGTAAACTGATGATGACTAATGTTGACGGATAATAATACTCAAAAGGAACGTAATTTGACTCTCCCTTGTCTCAAAGTTGTCTTTGACCGTTCTTCCGCTACGAGTACAGTCGAAACTCCATGTGCGACCACCTCTCGTAAGCGATCACCTCCGATAAGCGACCGCCAATCCAAAACACCAAAATTTTCTCCGTCAAAGCCTTACCGTTTAAACCTCTGGTAAACGACCATCTTCTTTGGGCCTGACGGTTAATAATTTTCCATTGTTTTTAAACTCTTGTAAGCGACCACTTGACGCATTCTGTGATCCGTCTATTTTCGCTGTGTGCACTATGTTACTTAGAATATACAGAGAACTTTAGTGAGAACATGGAACTACACATATCCTAACTTACACATTGCATGCAATAAAGTAGATGTGCCTGGACCTCTCCTCCGAAGAGACCCCCCACCCCTCCCCCCCGGTTAAATTCTTGTCAAAGACAACCTCCACTAAGTGACCACTCAGTCTTTGCATTTTGGGTGGTCGCCTACGAGAGGTTCGACTATAGTAACTTCTCGATCGTAGAAAAGTCATTTCATCCTGATTATCGTCGTTTTTTTATTGCATATAGCTTTGCTCCCTTCTGCGGACATTTCTAACCGAAAAAGTTTTATTTCAATCGACGATCCTAGACCACGCTTTTCGGACTCAGCTTTCAAACCAGCGTACTCAAAAGTTATTTGCTTGAAACTTCCAATAACTCGAACTTTTTCCATTTCCCTTGAAGGTTCCGGTTATCGGAAGTCGACTGTATTTATTAAGTTTTCTTTCTAATGAAGCGATAAATCATTTTGAAAAGTAGATAATGGTTTTGTAGTTCGATAAATTAACAAGCTTGTCGAGCTGTAAAAATGCAAAAAATATTTCCTACACGTCACTTGCGTATAAAAAATAAACGGAGCTAATGTGTCGCTGTGTTGAACACAATTTTTCTTCTTATTATTTTCTTTAGGTCCCGTTCACCAGTTGTTGTCGTTATCAATTTTCTTCATTCAGTATTTCGAATTTATCATTTACGACCACCATTATAACCGTTTGTCTGATCAACAGTACTATTGTTCTTCAATCAATCAATTAATCAATCATTTATTATTACACGTTACGTCAAAGAGCTAAAAACTCGTTCAAAATACGAACGTGTATAAATAAAATCTAATATATAGATTTAGCCAGGGCTAAAAGCGAAGCTCTGGTTAATAATACTTGTAAAGAAAAAAAATTAAATCGCGTAATGCTAAACGGGGAGGGCAATGAAAATGGCATCAAGATCAATAGATCTAATAAGCAAAAAACCAAATTTGCACGTGCAGCACGCTTTTTGTCTTTCTTTGCCGTTGTTTTGCACAACTACAACGCTGTTTTGTAGGACTAAAACGTCAAACTTCCTAGTTACACATTATTTTTGTGGAGGAATTGTCGTATGTGCTTACCCAATGTTTTGTCGCCTGTGTTCATGTTCGCTTTTATTTTTCACTGCCGCTCATTTTTGCCTTCCTGGCTGCTAGCATTTCTCATTGTCTCACAGCCGCTTTGAATTTTCATGTTTTCCTTCCTACAAAATTCGTCTCTTTTGTTTTCAGTCACTCGCTCTAGCTCTTTCTCTGTTATCCACGTGAGTGTAAACATAAAAAATAACGTCGAAAAAGACAGGACTTTGTTGTTGTTTTTTCTTTCTAAAAGTCCGAACGGCCATGCGATTTCTTTCCAAATAAAACCTTGAGCTGCATTTGGGTTGCCATACCTGTTGATTGAATTATTTTACATTGGTATGCCTGTGGTGCGGACGGACGGTCGGGCGGGCGGGCGGTCGGTGTACGGTCACGTGATTACCAAATTTTCTCGGATGGGTAGTTTACCACATTCTTTTACCCATGGTGCTCCGCTGCGCGCTTCGCGGGCGAGAGCTCCGCTATAATAATTGCAGCTATATAATATTATTCAATTTTAGAAACAACTCAATAAATATATACATATAAAAAACTTGGCAATAAAAACATAAAATATAAAAAGCTAAAACCGACTAAAAAGCCACATACTAAAAACGTGACTAGGAAAACTATAATACTCGTTCTAAAACAGTTAAAAGCTACAATCGTACACTATAAGACACGTTCTAAAAAGCTACAGTCGTGCAATTTACTTCTGAAGTCATTAGCATCTCTTGAAAGACGCACGTGAGAAGGCAAACTGTTCCATAACTTAGCTAATGAATAAGTGAAAGAATTCTTCTTAAATTTAAGATTAAAGTTAGGTAATTCCAAATTCAAGCCCTCGCCTCTTAGCCTATACGGTGTATGCCTGTATTTAAAAAGGCTTCCAATATAAGTAGGTCCCGTACCATTTAAGCATTTAAAAAGAAGTATTAACGCCTGGTGTAAGCGCCTAGAATATAAGGATTTCATGCTAGCCGTAGTGAGCAGCTCGTCGTATGACATTGACTTGTTGTGCCCGATTAATGTTCTCAAAGTATAACAGTGGCCATCTTTGAGACGGTTGCGTTGACCCGTACCTATGCCTGCGAACAAAGGAATGCAGTATTCGAGATGAGGTAATATAAATGCTTTATAAAGTTTTATCATTGCATCATGAGGAAGACAACGCCTTATTCTTCTCAGTGCAGAGGCCTTCACGTAGGCTCTCTTTAGTTGATCTGATATGTGTTCTTTATAGGATAGGTCCTTGTCTAGAGTAACTCCGAGAATCTTAATAGATCGGAGAAATTCTATTCTAGCATTATTAAGAAATAAAGAATAATGATAGGCACAGGGTCCGACAGATAATGCTCGAGTCTTAGTACTGTTCACTGTTAAATGGTTAGACTCAAACCACGACGAAAGGGTCTGAAGATCTTTGTTGAAGGAAAATTCTAGAATGGTGGGAGATACATCAGACAGGTAGGCAGTCGTGTCATCAGCGTACAGCCGCAACGAGACATTACTCAGAAATTCAAGTCATTAATGAATATGTTGAACAGCAACGGCCCCAATAGTGAACCTTGAAGAACGCCAGATTTAACTGTTTTGAAGTTAGAGCATACGCCCTCTAATCTGACACATTGTTGACGACCTAGCAGGTAGGTGGACATCAGTTCCAAGGCATGTGGAGAAAAGACATAGGCCTTCAACTTCGCGAGCAGAAGGCTGTGGTTTATGGCATCAAACGCTTTGCTCAAGTCCACAGCGACCGCCGCTACAGCTTCCTTGTTATCAATACTGTTCCTCCAATCTTCCCTCATTTTTAGCAATGCAGTGCAGCAAGAATGAGTTTTCATAAATCCAGATAAGTTTGAGGACAAAACGCTATGAAATGCATTCCAAGTTTGGTCGTAAATAACTTTATCAAATACCTTCGATAGCGAAGTTAATATTGAGACAGGGCGGTAGTTTGTTTTGTCTGTGTCAATCCCCCGTTTAAAGACAGGAGTAAGGCGCGCTTGCTTCCATTCAGACGGCAATGAGCGATTCAGAATACAGAAGTTGATCAACTTAGTCACCTCTTTGGCAAGAACTGGGGGTCCCAAACGCAAGATTCGTTGTGAAATGCCATCTACCCCAACTGCCTTTCTCGGATTAAGATGGTCTAAGATGTTACGGATATATGAAGTACTGACTGGGGAGTAATTAAACTCACTTGAGAAACGTAGATTGCTTATTGCCTTGATACTAGGATGGTCAGTGTAGTCAGTGTCAGATCTATGCTCTAACTGAATAATATTGGCAAAGTAATCACTAAAGACTTCGGCCACACACCCAGGGTCGGAAACATTACTACTGCCCTCAACGAGGATGACGCCTTGTATGTTTTTACCAGATCTAGTTGGCAAAAGGGGCTTCATTTTTCTCCAAAATTCGCCCGGATGTCGAGCACTCAAGGAAGCATCACAGCAGAACCTTTTCAAGGACTTGCGCTTTAGCGACGTAACCTTGTTACGTTGCCGCTTATAGTCATCCCAAGAAGTAGATGTAGGATTCCGCTTGTGGCGCTTGAATAATTTGTTTCGGTGCGAAATTTCACGCAGCAAATCAGGTGATATCCATGGCGAGTGGTCGCCCCGAATCCACTTTTTCTTTAGGGGCACGTGCTGGTTCTTTTTCTTGGTCAGGCCGGGGGTTGACCCTATTATAACTATTTACAACTCACTTTCGAATAAACGCCCTGACTCGATACAGCTGCGGTGATTCTCTACTTGCTCCGATTAGTCCTCGATGTTTCTAAAGTGTTCCATTTAGCCTAAGTCGTAACCTCTACTGTCTATATGGTCATAGTACATGTATCTAGTAAACAAAAATTATGGAAAGGATTATCCACTAGCTAGAGAAGATATACATGCTACGAACACATATATGATGAGATGATTCTAAAGCAAGGAATCGAGTGCTATATATCAGATTTGGAGTTATGAGTTTTTCTCGCTTATTCACTGTTCTTTAATAAATCGTGAAAACTGAAAGTCTCAGTTTCATGGACCTTTTCTCCGATCCTCCGAGAATTCGAGGTTCGCTTGAAATATCCATACTGCAAGAGAAAATGGCTTTAGATTGGCATTTGGGATATGACTTCATTCAGTTGCTTTATCTACGTATTGTTCTTCTAATAAATTAACTGGTAAAAAAATTCCCCTGTCAGCTAGCTTTATAATAGTATTTCACCCTTGTTTTAAATTAAACCTTACGATTTTTTATAGCTGATCAATTTTGAGAACTCTAGCACAAAGGAAAATCTTTGTATTTTCTTCGAACAATTGTCGTCTTAATTGAACAGCTTTTCATTTCAAGCTTACGCATTAAAGACCGAAATTTTGAGAAAATATTAACAACGTTAGTTTTGGCGCATAGCTGCCAAGTAGGCTGGGTATCTTGCAATTTTTCATGTGCAGTCAGTATAGTGTGGAAGCTATGTTTTGAAATTGTACAGCCTCCAAAATAATGAGTTTGAAAATTCTTAGTAAATTCAGAACATTTTATCAGTGTATTATAGAACTGTGAAAGTGTTTTTAGTTCATGGGTAAAATTTAAAACCGTGTCACGCAGCGAGAAATTTACCGTAATTTTATGCTTCCAAATTTGGTCAGTACAAACCAGGATAAGTTTGGTAATCGCCTTGGGCTTCCCAGAGACCGACGAATATTCACGAGGATTTACCGAAAGCACTTCAATGGACGGTGAGTTATTTATAGGAACTCCTAGCTTATTTAATGCAGTGACAATATTAACGCGAGTCAGGTTAACTTAATGATATATTAGAAACAAAATCCGAAAAACTCAACCGTTCGACATAATATAAACACATCATTTTTGCAGTTATCTTTAATTGGTAGGTAAATTTAATGATAATTTGAATTTCCGTTTAAGATATTTTGTAAAGTAAAACTAGATCGGCAAAGGTGAAAAAGGTCTTTTTTTTAAAAAAGTGTTCTTACCGATGAAATTGATGTTCGGCGTCTCATCTTTGACAGTGCCGCAATATTCCGTGAAAAAAAATGATTCATCCAGCAAATTTTGGAGTTCCTTTGTTCTTGTTTTGTCCAGTTTACCTTGATTAATGTTCGATATTTTAATAAAGATGGTTAACAAACAGAAATGTCACTTTTCTTTTTCTTTCTTGTGTTTAGTCAAATTTTATGCTAAAGAGTAAAGCTTTTGTTCACAGATTTAAAATTTGAATTGTTTAGTATCATCAATGCTAATCTGTTTAGTATCATTACTTCTGGTATCCACTATGTTTATGAATCAACTTTTGTCATATATTGACTGAGTCATAGTCTTGCTACAAGTCGACCTCTCATATTAAAAGTTCGTGAAAGTGAGCGAAGTGAACTTCAATGCATGAGGCCGAGCAGCGACCGTGCGAACGACGAAGTCTCGAGGTTAGAATGGCATAAGTAGGCTTAGCTACGAAAATTGGGTTCTTTTTAAAGATTTTTAAACCCTGTAAAGATAATTAGAAAGTCTGGAGATTTTTAGAATATTTAGAACTAAAAAAAATCCGTAAAATGCAATACGAAGTTACGAACTATATAAATAATGCTTTTTATTGGCGTATTGAAGGAAGTTGATGGCGTTGATGAACTTATAAAGCTATATAGGTCCAGAGGCAAGAGCTAGGCAAGGGAGTGAAGGGACTTCATATGTACTTCATGCCTTCATGGCTCATGCACATCAGTTTCACCATTCAATTATGTGTTCCAGAATTCTGTTGTTGTCAGTTTCCAAAAAATAAACATGGCGGAAGGAAGTGGTGTCAATCCTAGATCTTTGCTTTTGACTGGTACAGATGTGTTGCGCAAAGCAGAAATTAAATCCGCAAACAACAACTGGTTAATAAAACATGGATCAGTTTCTTCATCTTGAAATACTGTTTCTTTCAGTTACAGTGGGAAACATTTTCTCGATGAATACAACATCTATATAGCGACATTAGTGGAAGTTGTGTACATTTAGCTTCATTTATCCCCTCTAACGTCCCCTCCGCTAGTGTTTGTTTAGCAGTCCTTGTATGGTATAGAATGGCAGATTGGATTGCAATTGAGCGTGCCTGATCAAACGAAATCCGGATCATTCCCAGGTGACTCATGTTTGACGAAGAGAAGGGTCGTTGATGTATTTTTTTAGGACTAAGATCAAATTGTCTTGAACGAAGAAATGTACACTCGTCACATTGGATACTGGTTTCAAATCTGATATCTCGAACCAAAGCAACCGATATCAAACCATTTTTCCTTATCAAGCTTATATATAATGAAGGAATAAGTTTCGGCAAATACTGTATTGAAGCTTATTGAGATAACATTCTTGGTAGTTAGAGAGCGGAAAGACAAGGACCGGCAGTCATGTCCAGGATTGAACGGAGAAGAAACATTTAATACAAAATTGACGATTTTTCTTTTAACTTTCTATTTTTTTTTCACGAACAAAGCGGAATACTGCAACCTCCAACAAATGTATAACTTTTATCCGCGGTGATTATCAAAGGGGAATGAATCAGTTAACTTACGGTTAATTTAGTCAGTTTTACTGAAACCAAACTGCGTCTAACTTATTTCTATTCTCCTCTGACTTTGCAGTATCATGGTAAGCAAAATTCTAATAACTGAGTCTTTCCTTCTGGAATCATTTTCTACTCTCTCATCGAAAAAAAAGAAGACGAGACTCATTTTCTCTTCTCAGCAGAAGTAACAGTTGAGAGTGTTTTACTGTTACGCAATGAAGAATTTGATTTAAAACCCTTCAGGCAAGTGAAAAAAGCGAAGAAAATGAAATGTTACAAAAGACTCATAAATATACAACGACATATTCCAGTCTCAAATCAGGTCTATGCGGCGCACCGTTTGTCAGTTATTTTCCGAAAGTCTCATACAATTTAGTAGAGCTTTGTAAGGACGCGCCATGGTTGTGTACCAACATGCTATGGGACATACTCCAATATGGCAACCGGAAATCAATAAAGACATCTAGATTTCACTTTTTCGATAAAAGTGATTTATTTTCCTTGTGAGCTAAATTACGCGCGCATAAATACATTTTTACTGCTTGAAATGCGGAAATTCAAAACATTGTGTTTTCAAAATGGGGCTGGAAACTTATACAGAGATTTATTTCTCGGTCACCTTCAACCTGATAGGGAAAAACTCAGAAGGCCTCACTGTTTTTATTTTAGAGTTTGATGACTTCATGGTGAAACAAGCGAAAACAACTGGGTACGAGTTTTTCATACCTCATGATATTGACAATATTGATAATTGATATTTCGAGCGTGGTTCTATAATCAAAGGTGATCAAATGCAAATTCTCTTCAAGCTGGTGGCAAATCTTTGAAAATATTAGAAAAGTGAAATTTCTTATAGGATAGAAATTTCTTACGATTTAGAAACGTAGATTGCTTATTGCCTTGATACTAGGATGGTCAGTGTAGTCAGTGTCAGATCTATGCTCTAACTGAATAATATTGGCAAAGTAATCACTAAAGACTTCGGCCACACACCCAGGGTCGGAAACATTACTACTGCCCTCAACGAGGATGACGCCTTGTATGTTTTTACCAGATCTAGTTGGCAAAAGGGGCTTCATTTTTCTCCAAAATTCGCCCGGATGTCGAGCACTCAAGGAAGCATCACAGCAGAACCTTTTCAAGGACTTGCGCTTTAGCGACGTAACCTTGTTACGTTGCCGCTTATAGTCATCCCAAGAAGTAGATGTAGGATTCCGCTTGTGGCGCTTGAATAATTTGTTTCGGTGCGAAATTTCACGCAGCAAATCAGGTGATATCCATGGCGAGTGGTCGCCCCGAATCCACTTTTTCTTTAGGGGCACGTGCTGGTTCTTTTTCTTGGTCAGGCCGGGGGTTGACCCTATTATAACTATTTACAACTCACTTTCGAATAAACGCCCTGACTCGATACAGCTGCGGTGATTCTCTACTTGCTCCGATTAGTCCTCGATGTTTCTAAAGTGTTCCATTTAGCCTAAGTCGTAACCTCTACTGTCTATATGGTCATAGTACATGTATCTAGTAAACAAAAATTATGGAAAGGATTATCCACTAGCTAGAGAAGATATACATGCTACGAACACATATATGATGAGATGATTCTAAAGCAAGGAATCGAGTGCTATATATCAGATTTGGAGTTATGAGTTTTTCTCGCTTATTCACTGTTCTTTAATAAATCGTGAAAACTGAAAGTCTCAGTTTCATGGACCTTTTCTCCGATCCTCCGAGAATTCGAGGTTCGCTTGAAATATCCATACTGCAAGAGAAAATGGCTTTAGATTGGCATTTGGGATATGACTTCATTCAGTTGCTTTATCTACGTATTGTTCTTCTAATAAATTAACTGGTAAAAAAATTCCCCTGTCAGCTAGCTTTATAATAGTATTTCACCCTTGTTTGAAATTAAACCTTACGATTTTTTATAGCTGATCAATTTTGAGAACTCTAGCACAAAGGAAAATCTTTGTATTTTCTTCGAACAATTGTCGTCTTAATTGAACAGCTTTTCATTTCAAGCTTACGCATTAAAGACCGAAATTTTGAGAAAATATTAACAACGTTAGTTTTGGCGCATAGCT